GCGCAGTTATGAAAAATTTTATAGTAACTCGTGATCCGTTAAATCAAATCTAATAATTTATATATCATTCGATTTGTCTCATCATGACGAATCGAATGGTATCAAAATCGTTCGACTCTGATTACGTGGTCACGAGATATAAAGTTAAAAGGATATTGTGGCGCACCTGCAATATCTCATGATTCAATGATTGAAGTTGCGTGATTTTACTATCGATCGATTCGTCTCTTCAAGACGAAATAATTTATAGTAAAATAACGCAATTCTAATCACTGGATGGCGAGATATTACAGGTGCGCCATAATAGCTATACTCACTTTATATCTTTCATACAACGTATAGAATGACTTATAGAACAATATAGCATTTAAAACAAAACTGTGTTACATATCTGATTTCCGAATTCCATAAGTCATACTATATTTGTCGTCAATGAATGATATCGATATGATCGACAACACTTTAAAATTCAAAATTAGGGTCTTAGATCGACAACGTTTATTACCAAATTAGAGACAAATTACGTACAGTACGTAGCAAGTTAAACTGCGCATAAGGATAAAAAAGTCTGACTAAATACATTACTAAATAAACTGATTTCGGAGATTGCTTATTTAAATTTTCAGGCGGTAATTCAGTAATTAAACAAAAGGTAGATCTATTTTGAATGCTATAGTAGATCTAAGATTTTTTATTCCAGATTTTTAATACAATTAAAAAGATTTTATATTTTAGAGAATGAGTCACATAAATATTCATTCCCAATAAAGTCAGAGCTACATTCAGAAATAAATGATTATAGAAAGACGTTTTTACGATTGGTTAATATTTTCATTTAATTTTACGGATAGAATTTTTTTTTGAAAAAAAAGAAAGAAAAAAAATCGCACATATTAATAAATAAAACCATAAAAGTAAAAGCAATGGGACTTTATCTTCCATTTAGCAAAATAACAACTTCACATTGCCATTTTTAAGAAAATATATTGGTCAAATTTTAAATGAAAGGTTATTTTCGATTATGGTGTCCTATAGCTTTAATATATGTATATACATTTATTGTTAGCAATGCCTGTTTTTAAACTGATAAAGCATTGTAGATTAAAATAGAAATTAGTAAATCATACAATATTTCCGTATATGGATTAAATTGTATTCATTTTCATATTTTATTAATTATACTGTAATCAAATGAAGTTTTAATTTTTTGTGATGTGAAAAAATTGCAATACGTATTACATAATAATAATCAAATTTTCTATTATCATACATTTTATTCTGGGAAAAAAATGCCTTCTTTTTTAGTCTTTGCATTGGATGCCAAAAAATAGATCATCGAAAATAGATCATCGGATTCGGTGCTATTTCAAAAGAATTTATAAAATTTAACATGACAATTAATATCGATATCGATTTAATAATAGTCACTTTAAATTATCAATTTGATTGGCGCATTGTTTATTACAATATATAGCGATAAGCCCTGTTTATTATTTAGGCTAAACTGTGCATAAAGAATAAATAAAACAGATAAACAACCATATATGGGACATCGTCAATCAAAACATGCCACGGTATGAACATTATTTTTTACTTATTATTAATAAGATTTATATACATAATTTATTATAGAGTAGTCATACAAAATGATAGTTTAAAATAATTAATCGCACTACCGTTTTAATTGCGACACCCTATATAGAATATTTATTAGCAACTTTTCACATATACTTGGTGCTTTAAGTCATTAAACAAGGTTCCTTTTTTAAACATCAGTTTTAGTAATTTAACAGTGGTATTACAGTGATATCAATGATAATAATCATTTATGCAAAATGTATATACCGCTTTGCAGGCAATAACTGATTTGTTCAAAGTTCTTTATACGTCTTACTATTTTCTTTTTTTAGTTTATAGATCATGAGGCTTCTTTATAGTTCCATTTTTTTCCTTATTTATTTTTTTTTTTTACCCGATGACTTTTTTAACAATGTGTTTTAGAAATTATTATAAGAGTAGAATAGACGTTTCTAAAAACGAAAAGAGCATTTTAAATATATTTAAATCCGCCAAAAGCAGAAATTCTAGTGGTCAATTCAATGGTAGGATTGTTATAATAAAGATATAGATATTGTTACGGGAATAGTCGGTGATAGAATTACATTTTATCAATTGTAGAATTAATTACTGCAATGCCATAATGTCATAATGCCGTAATGCTGTAATGCTGCTGTAATCTTGTAATGCAGAAATGCCACAATTCCATAATTTCGTAATGTCGCAATAACAATATTGTAATAATGTTATACCGTAATACTATAACACTATAATTATAATGTTATAATTAAGTAACTACGCGACACAGTCATACAAATGAATACCGATATGCCATATAAGCATTTCATTCACATTAATTTAGTCGGTAAACATAAAAGTTATTTACAAATTATTTAAAGTGTAAAAAATCTGTATGAAAGAAATGAAATAAAATATTTTATGATTATTGTTGAGAGCGAAAACGGCGAGTCTGTCGCTAGAAGACCAGAATTCTCGCGCTACGTCAATTTCAAGGCTTGAATAGAGGCGTGTATACGATTTGGCGAGTATCAATTTATTCTCTAAGGGTTTTGTTTATT